CTCGAGTGCTACCTGTGGCACAGCAGGCCATAGAGACGATAGCAGAGCTAGGCAAGGAGTCGAACGCAGAGCGGATCTGCAACACACACACACACACACACACACACACACACACACACAAAACAGACTTAGCCAATACCAAGTAGAATGGGGATGTCTCTGCCACCAACAAGTCTAGTACTTCTTGTCAATAATTTATATGTCTGAAATATATACTTCAAAATATACATCAATCAGGAAGGAACCGATCGAAGGAAAACTATGTCAAAAATTGAACCTTGCTGTGACCTTGACCCTGTTTGGATCAATTTCAAAATCTAATCTGCTCATTTGTTGGTTATAGCGCTAAATCTTCAACCTCTTGTTCTTGAGATATCGCGGACAGCAGAAATTCTCGGACAGATGGAAAAACGGATGGAGGCACAGACAACCCGAAAACATAATGCTTCCACTAGGTGGTGGCAGAGGCATAACGAAAACAAACCATACTACCTATATTATACATACATTCGAACAAACGTGGGGCAATAATGCATTAGCTAATCCATTTGCACATGCTTAAGTCTATATTAAACAAAAATCTTCTCCTACAGCTTTAATGACGGCTGGACAGTCAGCATCCTTTCCTTTCATTTAAGCAGGTAGAGGAAAGCAGAGGTGATCGACATGTAAGAAGATCAAGATCAAGTCATGTAACAAGATCCCATGTAGGAATATAAGAAGCTGGAGAAATACCATAGACTGAAATCGGAGCTACCCTACATAAATGAAAATATACTGAATATAGAATATTATGAGATTATAATACGATCAATATAAGATTATTTGGCCTATTTCTGGAAGAATCTAGATGAAATTGTTCTATTGGTCTATTCTTTCTAGAAATAAAACACTTGAAATAAGCAAAATGATCTGATTAAAACAATTTCAATCAATAATTAGTGAACATGTCTACAAACAGGCTTAATAATTGCACATTTGTAATATGAAATATTAATTAATGTAACTATAAACATATAAAAAGTATGATGTAGTTCTTTAATTAAGTGCTTCGCAAAATGCTGCATAACATCAGCCGGTCGTTGATTATTTTGCTATAACAGTACGCATCACCATGTTTTATCTCTTCTATAAATATTATGTACGCACTCTGATTGCGCTCTACATCCATCCATCCGTCCGTCCATCTTCTGTACCGTTTTCCTACACAGGGTTGCAGGGAACCTGGAGTCTACCTCAGGGGACTCACTACAGACAATTTGGAAATGCCAATCAGCTTACAATGCATGTCTTTGGACTGGGGAGGAAACCAGAGTACCATGAGGAAACCTCCGTAGCACAGGGAGAACATGAAATCTCTGTGCACAAAAGGGGGAGGCGGGAATCAAACCCTGGAGTTGCGAGGCAAACATGCTAAGTATGAACTTCTGCTGGTGGACACCTCTTATGCTACTATAATATAAAATAAGGAAGCCAGTGAGGAAAAAATCAGACGATCACTTGCTTTCACTTCTGAGTTACCTGGATGGGGCATTCGTTGTCGTGTGTGATGTCCAGGAACATGGCGTGGGCGATGCTGGGCACCAGAGGACGGAGGCTCGGCTGCAAGAAGGCTCCTACAGGCTCTCCACCATAACGGTACACCAATCTCCCCTCCTCGTGACTGTCTCCGGCACTCATCGCCTCTGCCACACACACACACACACACACACACACACACACACACACACACACACACACACACACACAGTACATGAACAATTCTAACACTATAGAGGTCACACAGAGGTCAAGACACAGGCTAGTATTAAAGGCTTTATTACACAAACTAAATTCAATACCCTGGAACTCTTGGATGATGTGTTTAATTAAGAAGAGCATTTCTGTATCTTTATATGGTTCTAGGTGCTACAAGCGTGAGCATACTATACCTAAAGAAGGAATATTTCTTTAACATCACTCTTTAGAAATGGGAAGCACAAATGTAAAACGTATGTCTACATGCTTTGTTAAAGGAACACTAAAGAAGCAAGCTAATTAGAATTACAAACAAGACATCATGCTAACAGGTCTGGTGTAGCGCTCATTTGCTGTTCCTAAAACCATAAATATGCATATCACAGCACTAACCTTCATGTGTACGTGCAAATTGTATTTCATTGTTTTAAAAATGACAAGATAAAAAAAGATAAAAATGACAATTAAAGAATCATTACCTGCATTAGTTAACCTCTAAATTAGCTATTTCCTCTGCAATCATAAGCAAGCTATGATACCTCACCATATCAGGCTATTTATTTGACGAAGTTCAGTTAAAGGTGCAATAGTCAATATTTAATCAATATTGATATAAAAATAGTTTAAGCCATTGTCTCAGAACACGTGGATCACAAAGCTGAAAACAAGCCCAGTTTGGAAACCTGCTTTCCGGTCCGGAATTTTGTTTGTATTTAGATTGGCCTCTTGTCAGTCATTTTATAGACACGCCCCCAACACCCAGTGATGTCATGACTGACGCCTTGCTAATACTAACTCTACTTGAACCAACATAAAGTTTGGGGGCGGAGCTTTGGGTACATTCAATCATTCATTTTATACAACTCCACCCGTTTAACCATTAGAGACCTTTTTTTTTCTCGCAAATCTTACCCAATGCACATAAAATAATAAAAAATATATACATAAAAACATATGAAGAGATTTTAAAAAAGTGTATAAGAATAAAAAAAAAAAAAAAATATATATATATATATATATATATATATATAAAAAAAATTTTAATTAATTAATTAATTTATTCTTATACACTTTTTTAAAATCTCTTCATATGTTTTTATGTATATATTTTTCTTATTTTATGTCGGAACAGTTGTATAAAGCATATATATGGATAAATACTAGTTAAAATGATTGCACCTCATTTCCTATTAAATACAAGTATAAAGAATTTACATTTGCTTCTAACAGTAAAGAATTATAATGGATTTGATTGAAGTTAAAAGTTATACCTCTGATAAGGGAGGAGATGCCTAGTCTAGTGACAAACACATTGTCGAGCTCCTCGCTGCCTGTGAAGAGCTCAGCCACCACGTACAGGTCGGGTCTGATGGAGCGTGCTGCAGCCAACATGAACTACAACACCGCACAGACAGGGGTTAGAGCAGAGAGAGAGAGAGAGAGAGAGAGAGAGAGAGAGAGAGAGAGAGCCAGTGGAAAGTGAAGAACAAGAGTGGTAACAAAAAAGAAAGAAAAAGTAAGAAAGATAGAGAGAAAAAAGGGTGAGGGACAAGAAGAAAAAAAGAAAGCAAAAGGAGGGGAAGAGCTAGAAAAAGAGGAAGAGAGAAAGGAGTATAGCAGATAGAGAGAGAAAGAGAAATGAAGGAAGGGGGAGCAGGTAATGAGTTTATGTGACAGTAAAGGCATGAGCGAGAGGAGACGGCGTGAAAAACACAAGCGGAATGTTGTCAGTGTTTTTAGATGGATGATCGAGAAAAAGGGAAAGAGGACAAGAGAATGAAGGACAAGAAGAAATTGGTGGAAGTGAAATAGACAGAGGAGAAGAGACAAAAGACACACAGAGACTCTGTTAGGATAAGGCCAAACACCCGCACACACACACACACACGTACGCGCGCACACATACGTGCACACACACCATCCCTGCAGTACCTCGGATCAGACTGCTTATTCCCAGCCGGTTTACAAACACATTGTCAAGCAGCTCGCTGCCTGTAAAGAGCTCGGCTATGACATACAGATCGGGCCTGACTGCCCGGGCTGCACACAGCATGGCCTGTAGAGTGAGAACACTCCGTCACTGTCCACAACACTTCTTTACACACAAACAGTTTTTTTTTTTTTTTTAATGACTAAATATACACTCCTGGGCAAAAACTGGGCCAAGCCCCAACTGGCAAATATGAAGCTTTTAATGGTCTTAACAACAAATCACTGGTCAGCAAGAATGAAACAAATGCGCTCGTGAGAGCTCCTGTGCCTCCATTTGCTGGTTTACTTTTGCTGCAGTGAACTGTTGGGGGAAAAGCTAGAAACAGGGAAATTCACTTGTATAGTCTTCTTGTATGCAAATGACGATAATGATTAAAATGTCTGATGCAAAATGCAAACTAACACATATCCGGGTGTACAAACTTTTCCAAAAATATCTTCTGGGATGTTTTTTTCTTAACAGATTAGTAATCTTATTTGGCCACACCTGATGCAGCCCATCAAGTTTAGGGAAAAGCTCCCATACTAACTCCCTTTATCTATTTGTTTTAACATTAATTTCCTGACCAATGATTTGTTGTTAAGACCATTAAAAGCTGGATATTTTGCCATTTTGGGCTTGGATTTTTTTTTTTTTTGCCCAGGAGTGTATACATGAATAAATACTACTACTACTACTACTACTACTACTAATAATAATAATACACATAAGCTGTCAACATTTTCAACAGAAACTTATTACAACCAATTATTTCCCTGTGGCTGCATCTCAAATAGAGTTCTACTAGACATATTGTGCACTGTGTAGGGTCTACAGCAATGTTACTGTATGTTAAAACCTTTGCTGTAAAGGAAAAAGATTCCTGCGTGGAAATGAGTTGAACATGGTGGATATTTAAATTTTACATTTATGGCATTTTGCAGACGCCCTTATCCAGAGCGACTTACAATTATCTCATTTATACAACTGAGCAGGTGAGGGTTAAGGGCCTTGCTCAAGGGCCCAGCAGTGGCAGCTTGGCACTTGAGATTTGAACACTCAACCTTCTGATCAGAAGATCAGCGTCTTAACCACTGAGAAAATGTTGTTGCTGTTCCTCTTTCAGCTGCTCCTGTTGAGGTCACCACCGCGGATCATTGGTCCGCATATTTGATTTGGCACAGTTTCTATGCCGGATGCCCTTCCCGACACAACCCTCTCCAATTTTATCCAGGCTTGGGACCGGCACTGAGCGCGCACTGTTGCATGCAACCCCAGTGGCTGGGGTCGGTTCCCTGGCCGGGAGTCGAACCCGGGCCGCAGCACTGAAAGCGCCGTGGCCTACCCACTAGTCCTCTAGAGACCCCAACAACGAGAAAATATTACTTGAAGTAAATAAAATGATATTATCTTCTTTGCTTATTTAGTTTTACAGTGTAGCTCTACTGCTGATAAATGTCGTGTCAGTATAACATTACAGACTCGTTAATATTCAAATATTCAAATACTACAACTTTTAAAGGGATAGTTCACCCAAAAACGAAAATTCTGTCATCAATTACTCATCCTCATGTCGTTCCAAACCCATGAATGATTTGTGTATACAAAAGAACTAAAATTAAGTCTTTATTCATATAATATCTTCATTTCCGCATAGATTCCGGATGTTCTCGTGATACAACCGGACCCGGAAGCGCTGCACTGTTTACAGCATAGGAAGTTTCTTAAGGTTCTGGCATCCAGGAAATGCAAAATCAACTCAGAATGTAATGAGCGAAGCTTGCATACAGCGCCCCTCTTCCTGTGCTGTAAACAGTGCAGCTCTTCTGGGGTCCGGTTGTATCGTGAGAACGTCCGCTCTCACGTCAACACAGCACGCATGCGTGGTGGTTCTCTCGCGAACATGCGTCCGAGATCTATGCGGAAGTGAAGATATTTTGCGAATAAAGACTTCATTTTAATTTTTCTGCGCACACAAATCATTCGTATCGCTTCATAAGATTGGGATTAAACCACTGCAGTCACATGGATTACTTTTTACGATGCTTTTATGAACCTTTTGGAGCTTGAACGTTTTGGTTACATGGACTGTCAATGGAGAGACAGAAATCACCCAGGTTTCATTAAAAATATCTTCACTTGTGTTCCAAAGATGAACAAAAGTCTTACGGGTTTGGAACGACACGAGGGTGAGAAATTGATGATAGAATTTTCATTTTTGGGTGAACTATCCCTTTAAGTGATTCCGATTTGAATGCAACTTAAAAAAAAAAAAAAAACCTGACAGGCCTGATAGAGGGATTAAATCAGGACTGTGGAAAAGGCTACAGTGCTGAACTACAGCAACACGAATAAGACAATAACTAAACTAGACTAAAGCAGAAGTGCTGTTCTACTTGTAGTAGCAGTATAAGTATTAAGTAAAATAAACCCACATGTTGGTGTATACACTAAGCAGTCAGAATTTAGATGGTCTTATACTTTGGATCGAGTCATGATTTGGACTGATTTATCTGGTTGATTTATCTCATGGTAAAGTCTTCTCTGTGTGTGTGTGTGTGTGTGTGTGTGTGTGTGTGTGTGTGTGTGTACCTCGGCTACGTGTATCGGTGTGGAGTGGCAGTTGTCGAGACGGACTCCTGTGAAGTATGTAGCCGTGATCTCTGTGTATTTCTGCATGTGAGCCCACAGATACGGACAGTCCTCAGGCTTACTGCCGTATCGAAGCTTCACACTGTCTCCCCAACAGATCAGCTCTCGCCTGATGTACACGTTAGAGCCTGGAATACAGCAGAAGAGCAGCTTTCAGTCCACTCAAGGGAAAGTACTCACTATGATAATGTGAAAAGTGGTATGCTGCTCTAATAATGTGCAGATAAAATCTTAAAAACACTAGCTCCAAGCCGTATCGATCACAGACGCTCGGTCACAAAGAGGAATAAAGTTCATGTCAGTTTATGTGGGTGGAGTTAAATGGGTAGCTGATGTAAACATGTTGCTAATTCTGATTTGGACGTAGCGTATACCTGACAGCACTAAAGCAAACTGGCCATTAGGCAATGGCAGAGAAAGAAAATAATATCCCAAGCTAAAAAAGACCAACACTGTCTTTTCTTTTCATTCATTTATTCATCTTCAGTAAATGCTTTATCACTACAGAAGCTACAGATAATAATAAAAAGCTAACAATGAAAATACTCCAGGGGCTTTAACAGTGAGGTGGTTAAAAGATCCACTGAATGGCTAGGATATAAACCCGGTTCCTAATTTATTTCAGCTCAGACCTGGTTTCCAGGTTAATTCAGTTCTGACCTGGTTCTGCAAAGTTCCTCAGTGGATCGTCGCCCATCACCCAGCCATTGTGGGCCAGGAAGTGACACGCTTTGTCCGGCTGGTCCATGAGCACAAGGTCCTGCTCCAGAGGTACCGCCTCAAATGGGAACGTGAAATACCTGCAAATACACAAATAGAAAAATGGAAAAACGGAAACATGAGCTCAGAGCGCTGACATCAGCACAGAGATGTTTGTAAAACCGCTTTGGAAATGAACGAGGTCTGTCTGTGCTCTGATCAATTTTGTGTCATCTCATAGGCAGCTAATCTTAATGTCTTATCATCAGTAACTAATCTGCGAGCTAACAGAGGTTTCTACTTTGTTAGCTAACATAAACAGTACAGACAGCTCCAGAATTATTGACACCCTTGGTAAAGTTGGGTTAAAAGGATATGACATGTACACAAAATACTGTATTGACTAGCACTCTTGCTGCTAGTAAATATATCGCATCATAGTATGTTTTGTTTACATTTACAGCATTTTATTATTATATTGTTATATCTTTCTGCACAACCCGTTACATATGGCACTCTGTCCACTTTATCCACACTAGAACTGTGTATTAGTTGACTTTAATCTTTAACTGAAGTAAATTTATTCAAACATTAAAAACATCCTTTAAAAAGAAACTTATTGAACACTAAGTTTTATTGTGTACATGTAGCTGTGAATATAATATAACTGTATATTTAATTCGCATGTGGGATTTGTTTGTTTTTTTGTCCTTCTAACGGACGTCCAGTGAAAACAGAAAGAAGAAAAAGTGTAGATAATAAGACTTTCTTAAATGATCTGTCATTTTATGATCCCCATAAATTCTGGCACTTCATAGTGAACGAAATGTCTTCCAGCACAAGAGGCAGATATTCAATTATTTAATTGTAGACAGTATCTCTATATCTCTATATCTGAGGTGTTTTGTTAAAACATTGTTTCAGTGTGAAACGTTGTGTTTCAGGATGGTTTGATGATGTTACCTTGTAACCAGTGGATGCTTTCTGGTGACGGGGCCGAGTTTGGGGCCGTGGTCTGCCAGGCGCTCATAAGACACTGTTCCGATGGAACAGTTGACAGCCTGAAGAGAAGAAATACAGAACGACACAGATGAGCAGAGTCACGTCACTGAAGTAGCACGAAGGAAATGCGAGTTTTAAATGTTTCATCTCTGTTTAACACTAAAACTGTAATACCGATGTCAGATTCCATCATCTACTGCTATGTGAATTTTCCTAGAAGGCAACACGGCCAGTTTTTTTTTTTTGTTTTTTTGTTTTAAACTGCATCTTGCACCTTATCCATACACTAAACTTCACCATGTCACACACATATTAATATGGTTTATGACACACTAAGGCTAACTGTAATCTATAAATATGAACAAAACATCACTGTCTATTTGAATGCTTGAACATTATGATGTCGGCCATCTTGGACAAGCAGAAGCTCAGTAGGCAGACTTGTAGTGAAAAGCTGAAAGTTGTGTGGATGATAATGAGCTTTCACCTTGAACTGAAATTTGACATATTTGCTGCCTTACATATTGATTTATTTCAAAAATGAGACGTAGCTTAACAATACTGAGTGAACTACACTTCCATTACTTGTTAGCTATATTAGCTTCACAGCTTCAGTGCAAAACTAAAGCACGTCGTAGAGAACTGATCACGTTAGGGTTGGAAGAGAAGACTGTGTAAATTTGATTTAGTGCAAAACAATGATTTTAAAAAGAAGTGTATAAAAGGCAAAGGAAATTTAAACTTTAAACATACAACATCCAAGCTTTAGGTTCAATTACAAAATTCATACTGGAGTAACAGTAGCAGCTCTGACCTGCTCCTGATGATAGTTGATTTCTCGATACTGTTCTGCGTTCAGCTCCTCCAGTCTCTTCCTGAACCAGTTACAGCAGTCCTCTATGGCTCCTGGACTGTTCCTATGACCGCACAACACAATTCACACCAGGGACAGTGTCAACTACCAAAAAAACATGTACTCATACTCAGTTTGGGGGAAAAAGGTATCGATGCAGCCCTGATGTAAACATTATTCCATCAAATTCGAATAGTTTTGAAAAATAGGTTTAAAGGTCTGGTATCCCATCCTTGCCCCTTTCAATGGAATCAAATGCACTGGTAACTGTAAATACACATCCTACACAGAGAGAAACTCCAAGCCCATAACCAGCACACTATAACACACTGACCCGTTGGGCACAAAGAGCTCCAGGGCTAAATTGAAGTCCACTGAGCTCCTGAAGCGTCTGTACTGAGGGTCCTGGATGATCCTGAACTGCTTCTTGCTGTCCAGTTTGCTTCTGTCAGGTTTGGCCCCTGTACACATGGTTGGTTTCAAAGAAACACAGTTAAAAAATTCCACATATTCCACACTTTTGAAACTTTTATTATGGGCCTGATTGTATTAATTAGTATGTTTAACTGCTCTATAACCATCTATCCCTTTGTGTTAGAGTATTGAGAGCCAATCATTTTCCACTACCTATTTTTGAGAGAAATACTTTCCGATTATTAAAAATAATAATACTTTCTTATGAGTAAATTTTTGGTCAAAGATAAATAGTGTCTTCAACTGCTTGAGAGGAAAATGTGGATCACTGTATGTAATCATTTTTGCCCAGTCTCTAGAAGGGTGGCAAAATTTATGGAGTTGACTACAGACTGCAGGGGTGAGCAATACAACAAAAATATTATATCAAAAGTTTCAAAAACACAATATCCAAGATATCTTAAACAAGTGATATCATGATATCGATATTATGTATTGTAACGCCCAGTCCTTCTGCAGACATGCGCAACTACTTAGAAATGATTTCTTCTTTTTAATGACTTTTTTTTTAAAGCATACTCACCAGTTTGGAGTAAAGTCCTGAACTGCTCCACTATTGGCTCAACTTTGACCTGGAAGAACTCCCACAGTTTAATCTTAGGAAACACATACTGCCAGAAGATCCCACGGATGGCCTAAAAGGAAGAGAGAAAACCAAACTTCCTGCCTCTATACATACAAGAACAACTTGCGCGCGCTCTCTCTCTCTCTCTCACACACACACACACACACACACACACACACCCCCACACACACTCACTCACACTGAGGTGTTGTTCATTGCGTATGAGGGCCGGGATTCCACGCTCGGTGTATTTCCCGTCAGCGATGTCGCAGGTGATGTGCCACAGCGCTCTGTCCAGCACCCATGCAGGCCTCAGGTGGGGTGAGTTCACCAGGTTGTAGCCACACTCGGGGTGTTCCCGGATCCACACACTGTTCGCGGCTGCATGAGGCAAACAAAGCACAGAGGATCATGGGAATTTAATCACTGGTCTGTTGGAAATTGTCATAGAAGCATATATACAATATATAAAGAAAAATATCACATACATATACACAACATACACACAAATGATGACTCAGTAATATATACAGTAAACACAAACAATGGTTTATTGAAATAATTAATTTTTCACTACAAATTTTCCTGTGACAAAAATTTTGTGATGTGATTTTTTTTCCCAGCATGATCCAATATGCAGCTGTTAATCATGACACTGCAACAGCATTAATACACACAAGCTGAAATACACTGCCTACTACAACCATGTGAACAATGCAGCATGGGCATGCCCTCAAAGAAAGCTGCTGTGTTACATTGTTGCGATATGCCAATATATAAGCATAGGAAAGAAGGAAAGAAAGAAAGAAAGAAAGAAAGAAAGGACTTTTTATTAAACATACAGTGTATGGCTATCAGCAGGTACAGTTACTCTAGCTCACAGAAGACACACACGCACATGCACACATACCTGCACACTCACTCACTCACTCACTCACTCACTCACTCACTCACTCACTCACTCACTCACTCACTCACTCACTCACTCACTCACTTTTCTCCTCCTCAGCAATGTGACCTTTAGGTGGAGGTGAAGATAAAGTTTCTCACTCTACTTGACCTTTAAGTGCTCTAAATTCTGTGTGTGTGTGTGTGGGTCTGCGTGCATGTGGGCTTAATCCTGCCCTCCATATGAAAACTGCACATGATTATTATTAACATTAGTTTTTAATATTGTTAATAAGAGCTACACTAATTCAGTACATATGCTTTTCCTCTCACAGCAGTGTGACTTTTAAACACTTTAATGATCACTTCATAATGCTATCAGAGAACGCTATTCCCTGATTGGTTCTGGAGTTCAGCTCTCGGGCTGAAGCCTCATTTGGAGATCCACCAAACAGCAGAGCTGCCAAACTTCACAAGCTCTCAGAGATGGGGGTGTTTCAATACCGGTCCCATAGCGACAAGGCCGTGGTATTTTTGGAGCTGAACTCAGCACACAAGCTGCTGTAATATGCGGCAGTGTATCATTTAGGCAGCATGACCTTTCAATCACACTGAACTGCAATTAAAAATGTATTTTAAGAGTAAGAGCCTGATGTATTAAAGTTTGCACTTATTTGCTGCACAAAAAACCTTATGGGGGAATTATGGGAATAAAGAACCGTTTCTATGCTACAAAATGTTTATGATTTTTTTTAATATTGTGTAAATGTTTGGGTTCTGTGGCCTGAAAGTTCAGTGACAAAAACTCTAATAGTGATTTATAATCCATGATGATTACACATATTTGCTACTGCTTAATATCTGGACAATTGGCTTATTACTCATGAATTTAAATTGTGCTGTGATTTTTTTGTTGTTGTTGTTATTTACCATGAAAAATGTTACTCAATACTAAACATCTGAGATCCAGTAGCATAAATAATCCTAAAAATCTTTCGAAAGATAGAGAGGTAGAGGATAGAGAGAGCATGGCAACACTGCTGCTTGTGAAAGGCTGCAGTCTGAACAGTGATGAAATGCAAGACACACACACACACACACACACACACACACTTCTTCATAGCTGTACTTTACAACTGATTGTTAAAGGTACAACAGTTTGTTAAGCTTAATCCGCACATCATGCTCAGAAATTTATTATGTAAAAATGTGTGGATTGCGACTTACACCGGAAAAATCCACCCTGAATCATCTTTATAATAAACATGATCTTCAGTGGTGTCCACGATTGACTTTTTTAGTTTGGACTTCTTTCATCATCACATTGGTCTATTTTCATTTTGGTTCACGGTCTCCTACATTACCTACAACAACATTCGACCAGCTGCTGATAGTGGTGCCAGTGAGATTTAGCCCTTGCTTCATCTCTACCTAAAGAGAGCGATGCAGCAGCACTTTAGTCCTTTAGTGTGTCCAGCTCTCTTACCTCCGCTACATTGTTGCTGTTGTTCCTCTTTCAGCTGCTCCCGTTCGGGGATGCCGCAGCAGATTATTGGTCCGCATATTTGATTTGCCAGACGCCCTTCCTGACGCAACCCTCCCCAGTTTTATCCGGGCTTGGGACTGGCACTGGAAGTGCACTGTCTTGTGCAGCCCCAGTGGCTGGGGGATGGTCCCCTGGCCGGGAATCGAACCCGGGCCGTAGCGCTGAGAGCGCCGACGCCTAACCACTAGTCCTCCAGGGACTCTCACAACCACTACATTAATTTACTAAATTAGCCCCAGAATCGCTAAACACATCACAAATATTTCAATATAAATATATTTAAGGTTTTTCAGAGTGGCAGAGAAGGGTTTTCTGTTAACACACCATAACAGTCTACACACACTCACACACACACTCACACACACACACACACACACACACACACACACACCTGTATGGTTGTAAACAACATCAGTAATGCAAAGCATGTTCCACTCGTTCTTCATCTTCTCCACCAGGTCACCTACGTCGCTCCAGTTGTAGTTCTTGCCCAGAGGAGAGAAGTCAGGATTCAGCTTCAGCTGATCAGCCAGAGAGTAGCAGGAGCGCGACTCGCCCAGCATCTGCAGCGGCGTGAAGTGGATCATGTTATAACCTGCAAAAATGCATACATTTCAGATTTCCATTTCCATCACACTCCAAACAAGAACAGCAAGGAATATTTCATCTTTATAAGCCAGCTGTGAAGACTCAAGTAGCGTTTTTGCTAAAATTACAATACACACTTTATTAATATCTACCATGTAAGCATGTGCCAAATATTAACACAATGCTGTTTTGGGGAAAAATGAATTTTCCAGTCACCCTAAATGTAGTCGATCAGCCAAAATATTTTACTTATGCAGTGGAGCTGTGAAGCTGATGTAGCGGCCAAATAATGGGAGTCTATTTCACCAAAAAATATTACCCAAATCTTCATATATTTGTTAAGTTATATAATCTTATTCTTAAATAATTCATAAATAGTCCTACTATAGGACTATTTACTATATCCTCATCTGCATCACTTCTACATTTTCACTACAATTCTGCCTTTAAACTTTGGGGGGTGGGGCTTAAGTGCACATAACAAACAAAGAAAAAGTCTACAAGATGGCCACCCTCATACCCTAACAGTGTGAAGTTTAGTTCACGGTTTTAGATGACAGTAAGTCACACTGTGTCTTAAACCACACCAACGAGTCTGTGTAACATTACTGAGGAACTGGATGTGGTCAAAGGCAGATATTTACAGAACTTATTCTGAGTGAAAAAGACTTCCTTTACTTATTAGCCTTGTGGAAGGATAAAGAAGCAAATATCAGACACTGCATTTTTTGGCTAATCGGCCACATTTGGGCTAAAACAAATCCTACATGTTAACCTGTAGGAACAGCAGGTGGAGCAATGTTTACTCCCATGAAATAAAAACTACAGCTTTTTGCAGTGATAAGTGACAAGGTGCCGCAGACACAAATAATACTATTTTAAATTTACAGTTTATTATTTTCTATGAAATATTTTTGATGATTCATCCTGTCCTCTTTAGTTTTGTGCACAAGCAAATGCTCTCTAGGACACATTTGTCCTTCCCCGTAAACAAACTGCGGTTATCGCTCTACAGCAGGAAGTTAGCATTAAACATGAAAGCACTTTCAGCTTTCATGAGGCTCTCGCTCTGTTAATGGGACGAAAGGATTTTCAGCTTTGAGAAAGACCAATGCAATACATGGAGAGATAGACCTGGAAATTTCCTCAAAGAGGAAAATATTTTAAAGTTGTCCATGATATTGAACTTTTGTGATTTTCAGGAGCACAGTACATCATGGCTGGTCAACTTTCACTCAGACGAAACATCTATCAATTCCTTTCCAGTGTTCTGGAGTCAGTGGGTTGATGTAACCTGTGCTGATTATTGACTGATGTGACGAGTCAGTCCACTGACTCGAGACAATCATTGATTTAAGTCGAGTTTCAAACAAACCAAAGAGATAAGGGGTTGAGTGCAGCTGAAACTGAGATACCAATGCAAGCGCAGGTGAACTACACTTTACAGGAGGAAGTTTTTACATAAAAACGCAGAGAAAACATGTACAGAAACATGATATTCAGGATATCAAGGGGATTTCCAGTAAGTCATGTAAGTTAGTAAACAGAGAGAAGGCTACAAGGCTAAAAAAAAACCTAGTTTTCACCTAGAAACTGTCATTGTTTTGCCAGAACACTATTTTGAGAGTTTTATGTGCCTCCCTGTCGCTTGTCTACGCTAGGGGTTACACGAATACTAATTTTTATTGGTCGACCTATAATTAAAAAAAGTGATCTTTCTCTCTACTCTGTTCTTATGAATCTGAAGGTAACAGTGTCTTTGCTTTTCTCTTACCCGACTCTTTGGCCACCCTGAGCCGGTCGAGCCATTCATCCAGAGGGCCGAGACATTTAGCCAGATACGTCTGGATGCTGATGCAGTCTAAAGGTAAGACGTGATTATCAGCACCGACGCGGAGCATCGGATCCACCACTACATATCCTCCTCCAACCTTCTCCTCATCCCTGTAAAGACAGAACACACACAGCACTCACACACAAACTGATAATACTTTATATCCTCCATATTCAACATACACAGCACTTTCACTAACACATAATGATAAAATCAATAGAGGGCAGTTTTCGGGACTTGATTTCAGTTTCGTGTTCTGATCTCTAGAATTCCGTGATACTTGCTCCAACCTAATAATGTCCTCGTTTGATTTCATTCTACTGAATAATGTCACATGGAAAATGTTCAAACCGACTTTGGGTAACTTTATGAGTATCAAAGCCATGTTACTTGTTTTGAAATGATATTGTGATTACAACATGTCATATGACTTATTGTACATATTTGGTCCTGTGCTGGTCTTACACATTGTAAATGTTTCTGAAACATCAGTAAGACGTTACCGGAAAGTTCTGAGAATGTTAGAAGGGATATCCTCCTGCACCCTACAAATTAATGTCCCTAAAACTTTGGAGGAAATCCGGAGAACGTAAATGTAAACGTATAGCCACTTCATTCTGTAATGTTCACAAAAGTGTCATTTTTTTAATCCTCATGAAAGGCATCCTTGTCATTTGATTGGTTTGTTGATTTTTGAAATCCAGTGTGGTACTGTTATGTTTAAACAAAACTGAATTTATTCACCACAGGTGTTTTGTGTGTGTGTGTCATATATATATATATATATATATATATATATATACACTGTACACACACACATACACACAAACTTTGGTATAATTGTAATGAATTGTTGTAATATAACAATCTAATCATGACCACACTAATGTAATGCTTTTTGAAATACTGTCCTGTATTACTGTACATTTCACCAGAGATGCTAGTACTAATATTTGTAACTTTTTATTATTATTATTATTATTATTATTATTATTATTCCTCACCCATGGCCGAAGTAATACTGGTAAGAGCCAGCGATGTGCATCTCGAGGGCACAGAACTTGTCCGAGTCGTCCTCTCTGCCGGCGGGATTCACCCACTCGAGGGTGCGGAATCTGTGGTGGTCGAAACGCTCTCCCTCGGCCGGATAGTTGACATGGACGTGGACCTGTTTCCCCTGAAGAGTTGGCCCCAGTTGAAACTGCAACCCAAAACCTGGAGATGAAGCACAGTTTTGGTTATTCAAGTCCAGATACATGACACAGTTCAATCAGATAAACAGCAGAGAAGCTGCAGTCAGGTCACTTGCATAAAAGCAGTTGGGACATGAGGAAAGACGGGACTACTGTACGTGTAAACCTGCTGACAATAAAAATGCGATGTCTGTAGAGGCTGACTGTATAGAGATACAGCCTGAGAGGTTTTCTCCTAGCCTGTATTATTGCATGACAAATGTGCTATATACAAATGTACTGACTGATTATACCAGCTGGCCAGGAAGTGACTAAATTGATATTGGGTTTCCTGGAGCTTGCAAAACATTAACAAGAAATCTTTAGTGAGATTTCACGTTATTGACTTGTTCTGAACTTATGTTAGAGGTACATCTTTATAAGTCACTGATTTCTTACTCTTTCTGCTGGTTGAATGGAAGACACTGAGGCATTTATCAGTTTAACTAAAACTATCGAGGGATATTACTGTATCGGTTATTGGAAGTTATAGCTCTGTAAAATCGGTACTGCTAACCAATTATTATACCAGTTAGGCCTTAATACAGTGGGGTCCATACGCCTAAGACTACATTGAGATATTTGTTTTAATTTAATTGCACTGGAAATAAACAGAAGTAATATTTGCAAACAGAAGAATGTTATACTAGATATTTCATATTTAGGATTCTTCACTATTTCTAGGTTCCTATTTAAATGTAAGCAAATTTGTGATATTGATCATGTTAACTGCTTTGTACAAAAGGTCAGATTTTCCCCATGCCTGATCTCTTCTATTGAAGCATGTGTTCATGATGACACTCTGATGGATTTGATGTAAAATGGATCAGAAGGTTTTGCACAAACCTGTGGAGTCCATGCAGCTCGAGTGCACACTGTCATTAAAGCAAAAAAGGGGGTGTACCAAATACTCAGAAGCTCGGAAATTCATGCAAATATTTCCAAGATTCCACTTTTCACTCAGGTTGTTGCCAATAATATAATCTGTAATTGTAATTGTTGTATTCATTTAGAAAAGAATGCAAAATAGGAGCATTTTCACTAGCGCTCTCAGTCTTTCGGACCCCGCTGTATGTAAATGTAGTGCAGTAGCTTTAGAGCATGCTCAATTGTAATGTGTGATATTTTTACATTTTAAAATGGCAAAAAGAGAAAATAGTGGATTTATTCAGTCAAACGTGTTCGACTTTTATTAGTTTTATTATCAGCTCATATGCAAACAGGATTGTAGCTTCATACGCCTGAAACACTTCACTGAAACACTGCTTTCCAAATCCTCATACAGTGACACATCGAGCACTTTCAGTTCTTATTTTGAACTTGTTTTGATATTTATTTACCATCTAGTGAAATGCAGCATCTTTTCTCAGCAGACACAGTACTATAAAATGTCTGTCGGTGCTCTTTTCCTGTTGTTACATGACTAATCATGACTAATACTGTGATAGATGCTGTGTCATTGATCCTTTTACCAAACTGCTCATTCTCAGTCTCAAACACCTTCTGTGTGCATGGACAGAGAAACAGGCCACGCATGAGCTCTAT